AAATAGATTTAGTGTGACCCAGCTGTACATTCCTGGGGAAAGAATTTGGAGTCAGGATACAAAAAGGGATCATGGCCATTTGCTGTGAATTCCTGTAGACTCTTTCATCTGTGGGTAACGCACGAATGTATTTCATTTTCTAAGACAAATCCCTCAATGAAGCTATGTCCAAGATGAACAAGCTTTAAAAAATGCTAGTGATATAGGATCCCATCCCTACAAAACAAAGTGATTTTTACCCAGTTCACTTGGAAACCAACAAAGATATGTAAAAATGATTTTTCATTGTGCAAAACTAGGGTTACAAGAACATAAATAAAATACTAATTATACACAGGAGCACATAGCTACAAGGTTAGACCCCCATTTCCAGGAAGACTTACTATATTTCTTTGAAAAATAGCAAAAGGATGCTTTTTTTAATTGACTGTTGGTGCTCCCATATGACAACCCAAAATGTCTCATTCTTATTTTAATGCATTTATTTATTTATTTATTTAGATTTTATTTATTTATTTTTAGAGAGATGAGAAGGGAGGAAGAAAGAGTGAGAGAAACATCTATCAGTTGCCTCTTGTCCCAGCTGGGGACCGAACATGCAACCTGGGCATGTGCCCTGACCAGGAATCAAACTAGAAACCTTTGCTTTGTCGGACAATGCCCAACCAATTGAGCCACACTGGTCAAGACTATTTTAATGCATTTTTAAAGAATCCTCTGGGTCAAAATCTATGTTCCTGGGTTTGGAACACATGGAGATGTCTTTGTTCCATGGTAAGCAGGCATGCAGGGGCTGGAGGCTCTTTCTACCCAATCCTCTTCTTTATTGTACTAAAAGATAAAATTAGTTCAATCCCCAAAGTACTAATTTTATCTTTTAAAAAAGTGTGTGTGTGTGTGTGTGTGTGTGTGTGTGTGTGTGTGTGTGTGTAAAGTATGTATTGGGTAGCATGTAACAGATGAGATAGTGGGAGGAGTTGCTGCTAAAAGAGGGTTGGAAAACACTTCTGGTCTAACACCACTATAAATTAGTTCCAAGTATTACCTGTATTCTTAGTCCCTTTGTAATTACAGAGATATTATGTCAGACTTTTCCAGTGTTCATGTAATTCCATGGACTGCCCCCAGTTCCGCTGCCTTCTCATTTGACCTTCAGTCCTACATTTCTGACAGCCTACTGAATATGGTCCTTTTATCTCTTCACACTCCAGTAACCAACCTCCTCCATAAATCAGCCGCCTTTTCCATTTTCTCAGTCCTTGCCAGTGACTGCATCATTCTATCAGGTGACCAGCTTTAAATTTGTAAAGTTCATTACTCGTCCTTCTTAGGTAGTCAGTTGCCACTCCAGCTTGTTTTATTTTCTCCTAAATAAATTGTTTGTTCACCTCATTATTTTCCCGGGGCCCGCACCCTAGTCCTATCAGAACATCTGATGCCTGGGATAGCTTCCTTACTGGCCTCATCACTCCATTCATTTTTGGTCTAACTCATTCTTCCAGATTGATTCTATCTAACTGCTCCCTTTCGTATTGTTACTTTCCTATACACAACTGTAGATGGTATCCATTTGGTTCTGAAACCAAATCTAAACTATTCTGCTTGGCTTTCAAGGCTCTTCAAAATCATCTGACTCCATTCTCGTTAGATCAGTCTTCTTTCTGTCACATAAAAATATTATAGTTCCAGTGTCTGTACCTTCATATGAACATGCTGAGAGGATCTGGCCTAAAACAACCCATTCCTCTGCCCACTTCTTCAGTCTTTTCCCTCATTTTTTCTCACATGTTACCCCATTTTCTCCACATAACCAAGTACTTGCAGTTGCCTGAAAACACTCATCTCTGGGCCTTTGCACTTGCTTTCGTCTTCCACCCTTGGTCTCCTCAAACTGAAGTAGCACCTCCCATGCTAACTCTTCTTTTATCCTGCACTCCAGGCAAAGTAATCACATTTTACTTTGAGTTTTTGCATCCTATACATACTTCTATTATAGCTCTTATTACGCAATATTGCCATGTTTTAATTACATTTAATTGTTCTGTTAGATTTTGAGCTACCCTCTCAGAATAGTTTTAGACTTGGTTTCAAAACAAGGTCCCTGACCTCCAATAACACACAATTGTTTTGTATTCCTGGTGAGTCACTTCAGTAAATCCATAGGTATTTACTGAATGAATGAATAAATGAATGAATGAGTAAATTTCTACCTAAATCCTCCTCACTCTTCAAGATTTAACTAAAACCCAAATACATCTCTGAAGTCTTCTTTGCTCTTTGTAGCCCTCCATCCCTTCTATGAAGCCTGATGGTTCTTATGTTTGGTACAATAAAAATTAGGATGATTTCTTTAACTGGCTAGCAAGCTCCTTGAGGGTAGGGACATCTTATGTCTGTATTGTCTCTGTCATTGCATTGATCACAGTGCTGAGCACATAATAAAAACCAAATAAGTATTTGCTTTCTGATTAGAGTTACGTAAATTCTATGCTTAGGAAAATAATGACAGCTAATAGTCTACTTGAAAAATTATAATTTTTTCTTGACATTGTTTAATTGCGATTATTAAATTAAGTACTAATTCATTCAGAAAATATTTAGTGAATACCAGCTAATTCCTGGCACCAAACCAGTGGTTAGGATGCAGGCATGAATTCTATCAGTAAAGAAATTCTTCCCAGGTAAAATTAGTATTGCTTCATGGAAGCTGTGAACATTTTTTTCACCTTTAAATTTGTATATTTATAATTGGCTAGCAAAGTAGTTTTTGAGTGACCACCAGATTACTTTGTTTTTGAGGAGATAGGATCTTACAGTTTTTCCTGGTTGATTTTTCTCACAGGATCACTGAATCTTTTTTTTTTAAATCCTCACCTGAGGATATATATTTATTGATCTTAGAAGCGGGGAGGGATGGGGAAGAGAGGAGAGAGAGAGAGAGAGAGAGGGATATGGATTGGTTGCCTCCATTATGTGACCAGACTGGGATCGAACCTGCAACATTTTGGTGTATGGGGCAACACTCCAACAGAGATACCTGGTCAGGGCTGAACCTCTTTTTGGTATTTGAGATTGTCATGGTCAAGAAATGGGGAGAATGAATTCTGAATGATCTGGTCTAATTTTTTTTTGTCCAATTTATGTCCATAAATTAGTGGTTTGGATAAGGCTAATCTAAGTAAGTTGTGTGTGTACCATAACTTGAACGTTCACCAGCTTACTTCGATTTACCAGATGCCACTGATTGGTATCCATCCTGGTTCTGTGCTGACCATCTCACCGGAGTCCCAGGGACTGTCATCGGGTACACTCAGAGGAGAAGGGTAGACACTGCCCTCGGTTGTTCAGTTTCAACATTTTGCTACATCTTAAGTCAACTATTTCACTTCTGATTTAAACCTAAGTTAAGTTTCTTGTTTTCCTCTTTCTTTATGGGTTAGTTTACTTAACATTTCTTAGTAAATACTATAGTCCAGAAGCTGTGCTTGGTGCTCAAGATACAAAGGTAAAACAACAGAACCCCTGCCCTTAAGGAGATCATTTGGATAACCAGATAGTAATTATATGCAACTGTAGAAATAATATTTAATATTACTTTATGTTGCCTTTGAAAAACAAAATTCAATATATGAATATGTCTTTGGACTAAAACTTCTTGAATTAATGGGCATATATAAATAAAAGTATCATTACTAATACTATTGCTATCTTAGAGTAGGAATATTCTGTAAGAAAAAGATGAGGACTGCTTACATACCTAAAGTAAGTGTTAAATAGTAATGAAGTCATGTTCTAGTGGTAATTCGGTATTAGGGAGGCAAAGTAACTCTTATAGGACTCTAAATGCCAGCAATTCTCTACAAAAGTAATATACTTCAAGCACATTATTCACATATTATTAATTATAGTATTACAGGTAGCAAATGTCACCCTGGTGCTATAGCTAGGTCCACATATTGTGGGACCTGAAGCTCATAAATGTGGAAGGTCTACATAAAAAATAAAATAGAATTAGAACACAAAATTAGGTGGAGCTTATGCAAATGAGGAGCCCTGAAGCCTAGGCTTCATTTGCTTCACAGAAAAGCTGACTGGTAGGTATATAAAGGATGAATGTTGTCTCTACTCATCTGTGATAGTAGGGAAAGACTTGGGCATTAGGAAGAATATTATTCATTAAGCTAATATTGAAAAGTTTATAATAAATACAATACCTATAAAATGAATCTCTAAATTAATCTTAGCAACATCCTTATTCTACCTTTATATTATCAGCTTTTATTCTATTATTTGGCTTTCTTTAAAATTGAAAACAATCACAGGTATTCATTGAGCATAGATCGTAAATACTTTCTTTTTTTAACCTTCAATTTCAGCCTGTAGACTTGTGTGATAACAAAGTCATTAGCCACATGAATATTGGGCACTTGAAATATCACTGGCACAACTGAGGGACTGAGTTTCATATTTAATTTTAATGAAAAAAACCCTGATATTCAATTCAGTTATTAAAAAATTTAAAAAATTTGTTTGGAAAAACTTGTGTATGTTAACCTACTTTTTCAACTATAAATTTTAGAAAATCTAAATGCAGTTTAATTATTTCCTTGGAAAATTTAGTAGCCAAATTGAGATATGCTGTAATTAGAATTTACACTGGATTTTGAAGCCCTTGTATCACAAAAAGAATGTAAAATATAATATTAATAATGTTTATATTGATTACATGTTGAAATGATAATATTTTCATATATTGGTTAAATAATATACATTTAAAAAGTTAATTTTGCTCAGTTCTTTTTACTTTTTAAAAATACGGCTACTAGAAAAATCTAAATTGCATATAAGGCTAACATTGCATTTTTATAGGACAGTGCTGCTTTAAACTCTGTTTTTCTCAAAAGTATATAATTTTTTAAACCATTTACTTACAAGATAAACTTAGGAGAATTATGGTAGATGGAAAGCAATTACTAAGCATTACTGTGGGGCATTTTTACCTTACTTGAGGTGGTGGAATTCCTACCACTATGCAATCCAGCTGTACTCTAGTTCCTTCTGGAACTTCTCTGCTCCATAACTTTTGAGTGAATCGGGGAGGTTGCCCCAGAGGTTCTTCATAGTACAGGGATGAAGTCGAAGACCCTGGGCTGGTGTCTCCACCAGCTGCTTCACTGGCAGCCTGCTCAGCTTCACGCCGCTTAGCTTCCTGCTGTTCAAGGGCATGATTCACTTCGTTATCTCTAGTATCTGCAGGGATAGGGATGGGGACAGAAGCTCTTTCTCTCCTTTCTGATATAGCTGAGAAACTGGAGCTATTTTCCTGCATAACTTTGTTTTGAGATTCCAGTTTGCTCTTGTGGTTTTTGCAGGCACGAGGTCTAATCCTTTTGGAACTATGGGCTTTGAAAAGGGAGGACAGCTCTTCAATAAAATCGGCAGCCTTATTTAAGAATACTTTTTTGGACTGGGCCTCAGAACTATACTGTAGCTTTGTTGCCTCCTGGGCACTCTCTTTAGAGCTGGTAGGACTTCGAGAGTTATCCTGGCAGAAGTTAGGGTCAAAACTTGATTTAGATGGGTGTTTCATCTGATCAGGAGAAAGGCGTTTTCTAGCTTGAGCTTCATCTGCTTTCTCCAAAGGGTCATGATTGATGGCCAATCTTGCCAGATTGACACTTTCATCTAATTCCTCTTGGCTCAGAAATGCTGAAAGATCTGGAAGGTCATCTTGCCCTCCTCCTCCTTCGGCAGCTCCAGAAGGACTGCCAAAATGGAAAGGGTTGGAAGAAGGCTCCGCTCGACTCCTCTCATTGTTTCCCCGATGTCTTGTTTCTGCCAAATAGCTCTCTCTTAGAAGCTGAGAAATGGAAGTAGAAGCTTCAACGCTGTCGTCTTGCATGCTGTGACAAAAACAATAATAACGATAATAAGTTTGGATCATTTCCAAAGAATAACAAGTCTATGTTTATTATATTATATATAGCATGATGGATTCTTAAGAACGTAAAGCTTGAAATGTAAAAATTGCCTAATTTCAATACATTTACAAAATTTACTATAAAGACTTAAAGATTATTTTCAAATTGTAAAATGAAGAGGAATTGAATGAAGTTTTTATTGAAATTGGAAATAAAAACATAGGCATTACCACTTTATTAAATCTTTAAATACAAGTTCAATTATGAAAGCTATGATATAGCTACAGCGACATTAAATACAATTTCTAAACTTTGATAATATCAGTAAAGGGCTTTTAGCTATAAAGTACTTTCATATACAATGAGAGATTTGCTCTCCATCCTCTACCTTGAATGTAATAAAATAATATAAATTGAAAGATATTGACCTCATCCCTGACTGGTATGGCTCAGTTAATTGGGCATCGTCCTGCAAAGCAAAAAGTTGTTGTTTTGATTCATCGTGGGGGCATGTAGCTGGGTTGCAGTTTCCCCTGGTTAAGAGGTCAGGGCACTGGCGGGAGGCAACCGATCAATGTTTCTCTCTTACATCAATGTTTTTCCCCCTCTCTTTATCCCTTCCCTCCCCTCCCCTCTCTCTCAGATAAGTGAATTTAGGGGGAAAAAAGATATTGACCTCATAATCTCAACTGGTTAGTGAAAATATAAACTTGATCTAGCTCATGAAAATAAATAATGCTTTTAAAAAAAACTAGAGACAGTTTAAATTCACACTTGTTTATAGGATCAATCTGCTCTTGAAAACTATAATGATTTAGCCTTTTCAAAGAAGGTATAATTTAATTTTTACAAAGATAAGAGTTAGACCCTCTCTAACTCATATATCAGGTTTTAAAATATCTCTTAATTAACACTGGTGAAAATGGGAGACAGGAAAATGGGGGCAACACTGGACACTCTTCACTGTATATCTTTTCCTGACTTTTGAATTTTAATTATATAAATATATTATTGATTCATAAAATAAATGATTTTTAAAGTCTTAAAAAATGGTAAAAAAAACTTCAGTTCCAAGTCCCCTGGACTAAAGATTTTGGTTATGGCAAATCAGTTTCATATTGTTAATATTGTATCTATTTATTCATTCACATACTGGCGGGATGGCAAGCTTGTGACCCATAGACTGTTACTCCTATCTCTCTTCCTTAAAGCTGCAGCTAACTGATTACAATACTCTTTCCATTGGCCTTAACTTCCTTAACACTCCACTCTGTCTGCCACTACCAATCAATCAGAGATGGAAATGGAGATGAAAATTATTTACCATTCTTGGCTACTAAGTGCTGGGTCTTGTACTGGAAAGATGGAGAGGAAAGCAATCTCCTAAATCTTTTCTGGCTTTAAGATTCTATGCCAAAACTTATTTTAGTTCATTCCTTATATGATAGCCTCACTTATATCACAAATAAGGCTTTCTAGGAACTGCCTTAGTTCTCAAACTTTTAGAGTGTTAATCCAAAACTAATCTCCAAATTGGCAAAGTAGGCAGTGACCTTGAGATGGCCATTAGAGATGGCTAATAGGATCACCTACAACCAAATATTTTTCCACATGCTTGCCACAGCTTGAGATTGCTGCCACTACTGTATCCACTTGTTTGGGTGAGGCTTACCATGTCCTTGAGAAAGAGATTAATTGGGGAATGGGGAGGTAGAATAGGGTAAAGGAAGGATAGATGGTGATGAAAAGACACCTGACTTAGCGTGGTGAACACACAAGACAATATACACATGATGTTCTCTGGAATTATAGACCTGAAACCTATATAATTTTATTAACCAATGTCACTGCAATAAACTCAATATTAAAAAAGAAATAAAGAGGGGCCAAGAAAAAAGATCAATTAAAAATGGAAAAGCATTGGATGGGTACAAAGATTTATCTACAAAGATATTCATCATAGTATAGATGATAGTATTAAACATATTGGTGCAGGGGGAAGGGGTGGGTGGAGGTGGAAGAGGGTATGGGGGGGATAATTGGTAATGGAAAAATGTAATTAAAAATAAATAAATAGAAAAAAATAAAAAAATTGGAACCATATCCAATAGGAAATTAGTTAATTAAGTTATGATATATTCATCAAATAGAACTACATGGCTATTTTAAATTTAAATTTTAAATGAGTGATATACAAAATAGTATATAAAAGTGTAACTGATATCCCAATAGAAAATTTGTCTTATTTGTGCATTAACTATATAAAGGACAGGAAAAAATATATGGAATCAGGTACTATTTGAAAATGTAATTAATGTACTGATTGAAAATCCTTCTCATTGTTAATCAACTATTTCACTAGCATAGTTTGAGTTTCTGTATTTATTTAAATGTGAGGAAGAAAGTTGAGTGATTTATAAATCAGGATGGCCTTCTCTCAGCTTGTTGAACATTACTGCATGTTGTGTTTTACTTTATTTCTTTATTTTCTAATCTTCTCTCAAGGATATATGATATGTTTATTGATTTTAGAGAAAGAAGATAGGGAGAAATAGAGCGAGAGAGAGAGAAATATCAATGTGAGAGATAAACATAGATCAGTTGCCTCCTGTACGTGCCTGAATTGGGGATCAAACCTACAACCTAGGTATGTGCCCTGACTGAGGATCAAACCCACAACATTTTGATGTATAGGACAATACCCTGGCCAACTGAGCCACCTTGCCAGAGTATACTGCATATTGTGTTTTAATGTTACTTTGTCTCTAAATATTTTAAGATGGCTTTTATCTTGAGTAACATGGAATGAGCATTGGCCTTGGAATCAGATCTGTTTTCAACTTTTGGCTTTATCTCTTAGCAGCTGTATGACCTTGAAAATTATATAACTTCTCTGAAGTTTGGATTCCTCATCTGTCAAACATGGATAATATCTATTTCTCAGAGGAGTGAGGATTAGTGACATCATGAATGCAAAGCCATTAAAACAGGACCAGTGACTATAATGGGCACTCAAATGTTGTTAATAAAAATCAATACTTAGGCAAAAGTGATGTTAATGTTAGGGAACTTTTAAGAACTTATATTTATAATGGAACTAGAAAATAAAATACTCATAAGTAATCAATGCTCTCTGCAATTATTATTTTTTAAAGAAAAGAAACTAATGTATAAATTTGTGCCTGTTTTGATGCTTATGGTCATGGTAATGAAAAATTATTATGGTAACAAAATTTTCAGGTGTTCAGGATAAAGGATCTCTTTAACATTTTAATGTAATATTTATTACCTAACACTTGCAGTTAATAGATCTGATTCTAATCCAAGTTCTGATACTTCTTAGCTGTATAAACTCAAGAAAATTACTTAACTTCTGCAAGCTTCAGTTTACTCATCCATAAAACAGATATAATAACAGTAGCCATCTCATAGATTGAAATAAATTTAAATGTGTTTGGCATTTAGTAAATGTTTTAATAAATGGTAGGTACTACTAGTATTACTATTACTATTACTACTACTACTACTATTAAACAACTATAGCCACATACTAGGATAAGAAATGGAAGCAGAACTAGTGACTTGATCCAAGGACAAGCTTTAAAGAGAAACTGAACTTCTGATTTGTAGTTAATTCAGCATTATCTATATTCCATTGAAATACATGTAGTCTTATTGACAAACTGGGCTACCTTCAGGTCTTTGTACATGTTATCCCTGTCCCCACCTCCCCTTACTACGTTACTGGGCCAAGTCCTACATGGTCTTCAGTTCTTAGCCGAGACATCCCCCCTCCCGGATTTCTTCTTTTCTCTGGGTTGGCTACCTCTCCAATGTGTGACTAAAGCTCACTGTTCTTACCTCCAAATATAGTACTTATTACAATATAGTAAAGTTGCCTATTTACTTTTCTGGCTACCTCACTTTGTTTTATACACCATCATCTCTGTACACACAGAGCACATAGAAGATGATCAGTAGATGTCTGTTCAATTCTTTTGTTTATTAGAATATCATGCTAAATCAATTGCTGTTTATCTTTTTTCTTAATTGCAGGAAAAAATAAGGTAAACAAAAATCATATTTACAAAGAAAACAGACACAAATAAAAAATGTAAGTACATTTCATATATAAATATAAATATGTAAGTAACTTCAAGGTGACTTAAATGCAAGTGCATTTATAGTGGATAAAATAAATTGTGGAGTTATGCTTTGTTTTCACACCAGAAGTATCAAAGGACATCTGATTATAATCAGAAGTCTGGGTTTGTATCTCCTCTCTAACACTGAATAATTTTGCAATCTTGAGCAAGTCATTTAATGCATCTGAATCTCAATTATTCTAATCTATTAATAGGATAATAACAATTCCATCTCAGAGGGTTCTCAGATGCCAATACATATATAAAATTGTTAATCTAGTAAATGTTACCTGAAATAGGAAATACAAAAATGTATCATTTTCTCTTTCAAGCCTTAACTTAAAACCCATTATAAAATTTGTACTTTTAAAAAGCCCAAAAAGAAAATGAAAACAACAAAAAAATAAAAAGCATAAGTGCTGTTATGGATACCCTAGCTTTCACTTATTCATCCAATAAATATTTATTGAGCATCTACTATGTTCTGTTCTTGGCATTGTGGATTCAACAGTGAACCAAAGATAAAGTCCCTGCCCTTGTGGAGTTGACACTCTAGTAGGAAACATGTAAATGTTAAGAAAGAAAAAGTAGGGCGAGAGAATAGAGAATGATGAGGGAGAATGGAAGGTGTGCTTTTTTAGCTAGGAAGGTCGGGGAAATCTTCCGATGCAGTGAGAAGTTAGCCATGTGACCATCTTGGGGGAAGAATGATCCTGACTGAGGGAGAAGAAAGTGTCAAAGCCAGAATAGGTGACTGCTATGCTTGAGTCAAGCCAGTGAGCCAGGAGGAGCGTGAAAAAGAAGAGCAGAAGGAAAAGAAGTCTCAAAGGTACAAGGCTAGATCATGTAAGGCCTTGCAGACCATTATTATTAAATGTGTGAATGGGAAATCATTTTAAAGTTTTGAG